AGTATGACCAAATTACTGAGAACTGCTGTAATTAATATTTTCCCTTCCTTTTATGATTAAAGTGGAGCTTTTCTTTTACCTTTTGAGAGTAAATTGGATGATTTGTACATTTTGTGCAGCTTCTCTTGACAAATCCCATTAATCATTGCCATAATATGATTCCCATTTCCTTCATGGCTCAATGAGTTAACCCCACTGTATGTACTTCTAATAAATGATTTCTGCTGTCTTAAAGGCCTAAATGAATTAATTCTGCTCCTCACACCTTAATAAGACAAATCTGATCCATTCACAGTTTTAGCTAGATGATTTCTGAGGTACTAAATAATAATTATCGTTGCTTTCACGGTCTTTTCCGAGATGAATCCCAATGTTTGTGGTTTACATGAACTGCAGTAAAGGCAGGAACCGTTTAAGTAATAGATCTCCAACCTTTTCTGGGGCCTTAATAGGCTCCTAACTATTTTCCTTCTTTACACTTTGTTTGCTTAAATTTCTAAATTGTGGCTTTATCATTCAAATTTAGGCTTTGCAATGCTTCTGGTTCTGTGACCTTGTTTTAAATTGCTTCAGTGGCCCTTGATTTCCTTTAATGTAACGATGCCCTCAAAATGTTTGCTCGCGAAAGCAACAAACTGTAAGTACTTGGATTACATCTAGCTTTGTAAAAAGCGTAAGAACTGCGGATGCTGTAAATCAGGATCAAAAACAGAAGTTGCTGGAAAAGCTCAGCAGGTCTGGCAGCATCTGTGAAGAAGAATCAGAGTGAACATTTTGGGTTGAGTGACCCTTCCACAGAACTGATGGTCACTAGGAAAATGTCAGTTTGTATGCAGATGATATGGTGGGGGGAAGGGGTAAGAAGTAAATGATAGGTGGGGATAGAGCCCAAAGACCCACAGCAATGTGGTTGACTCTCAACTGCCCTCTGAAATGGCCCAGCAAGCCACTCAGTTGTACCAATTGCTACAGAGACTCAAAGAAATGAAACTGGCGGATCACATGGCATCTACCTAGGCACTGGAAAAGACAACGGCAGAAATGGCCCTGTCGACCGTGCAAAGTCATCCTTGCTAACATCTGGGGGTCAGTGTCAAAATTGGAAGAGCTGTCTCACAGACAAGTCAAGCAACAGCCTGACATAGTTATACTCACAGAATCATACCTTACAAACAATGTCCCAGACACCACCATCACCATCCCTGGATATGTCCTGTCTCACCGGCAGGACTGACCCAGCAGAGGGGACAGCACAGTGATATGCAGTTAGGAGGGAGTTGCTCTGGGAGTCCTCAATATTGACTCCGGATCCCATGAAGTCTTGTGGCTTCAGGTTAAACATGGGCAAGGAAACCTCCTGCTGATTACCACATACTGTCCTCCCTCAGCTGATGAATCAGTATCCCCCAATGTTGATCAACACTTAGAGGAAGCACTGAGGATGGCAAGGTCACAAAGTGTACTCTGGGTGGGGGATTTCAATATCCACCACCAAGAGTGGCTCGGCAGCAGTACTACTGATCGAGCTGGTCGGGTCCTAAAGGACATAGCTGCAAGACTGGGTCTGCGACAGGTGGTGAGGGAACCAACAAGAGGGAAGAACATACTAGACCTCATCCTTAGTAATCTGCCAGCTGCAATTGCATCTGTCCATGACAGTATTGGTAAGAGTGACCATCGCACAGTCCTTGTGGAGACGAAGTCCCGCCTTCAAATTGAGAACAACCTCCATTGTGTTATGTGGCACTATCACCGTGTTAAATGGGACAGACTTCGCACAGATCTAGCAACTCAAGACTGGGCATCCATGAGGCACTGTGAGCCATCAACAGCAGCAGAATTATACTCCAGCACAATCTGTAACCTCATGGCCCGGCGTATCCCCTACTCAACCATTACCATCAAGCCAGGGGATCAACGCTGGTTCAATGAAGAGTGCAGGAGGGCATGCCAGGAGTAGCACTAGGCATAGCTGGGATGAGGTGTCAACCTGGTGAAGCCACCAAACAGGACTACTTGCACACCAAACAGCAAAAGCAGCAAGTGATAGACAGAGCTAAGTGATCCCACAGCCAGCAGATCAGATCTAAGCTCTGCAGTCCTGCCACATCCAGTCATGAATGGTGGTGGACAATTAAACAACTCACTGGAGGAGGCGGCTCCACAAATATCCCCTTCCTCAATGATGGAAGAGCCCAGCACATCAGAGCAAAAGATAAGGCTGAAGCATTCGCAGCAATCTTCAGCCAAAGTGCCGAGTAGATGATCCATCTCGGCCTCCTCCAGTGGTCCCCAGCATTACAGATACCAGTCTTCAGCCAATTTGATTCACTCCATGTGATATCAAGAGATGGTTGGAGACACTGGATATTGCAAAGGCTACGGGCCCTGACAACATTCCGGCAATAGTACTGAAGACTTGTGCTCTAGAACTTGCTGCTCCCCTAGCCATGCTATCCCAGCACAGTAACAACACTGGTATCTACCTGACAATGTGGAAAATTGCCCAAGTATATCCTGTACATAAAAAGCAGGACAAATCCAACCCGGCCAATTACAGCCCCATCAGTCTCCTCTCGATCATCATTAAAGTGATGGAAGGTGTCATCAACAGTGCTATCAAGCAGCACCTACTCAGTGATGCCCAGTTTGGATTCCGCCAGGGCCACTCAGCTCCTGACCTCATTACAGCCTTAGTTCAAACATGGACAAAAGAGCTGAATTCCAGAGGTGAGGTGAGAGTGACAGCCCTTGATATCAAGGCTGCAATCAACCGAGTGTGGCATCAAGGAGCCCTCGCAAAACTGGAATCAATGGGTATCGGGGGCAAACATTCTGGTGGTTGGAGTCATACCTGACACACAGGAAGATGGTCGTGGTTGTGGGAGGTCAATCATCCCAGCTGAAGGACATCTCTGCAGGAGTTTCTCAGGGTAATGTCCTAGGCCCAACCATCTTCAGCTGCTTCATCAATGACCTTCCTTTATCATAAGGTCAGAAGTGGGGATGTTCGCTGATGATTGCACAATGTTCAGCACCATTTGCGACTCCTCAGACACTGAAGCAGTCCATGTTCACATGCCACAAGATCTGGACAATATCCAGGCTTGGGCTGACAAGTGGCAAATGACATTCGTGCCACACAAATGTCAGGCTATGACCATCACCAATAAGAGACAATCTAACCACCACCCCTTGGCATTCAATGGTGTTACCATCATTGAATCCCCCACTATCAACATCCTGGGGGTTACCATTGACCAGAAACCTTACTGGACTCACCACATTAACCTACAATAGCAGGCCAGAAGGTAGGAATACTGCAGCGAGTAACTCACCTCCTGACTCCTCAAAGCCTGTCCACCATCTACAAGGCACAAGTCAGGAGTGTGATGGAATACTCCCCACTTGTCTGGATGAGTGCAGCCCCAAAAACACTCAAGAAGTTTAACATCAAGCAGGACAAAGCAGCCCACTTGATTGGCACTACATCCACAAGCATTCACTCCCTTCACCACCGACACTCAGTAACAGCAGTATGTACTATCTACAAGATAAACTGCAGAAATTCACCAAAGATCCTCAGACAGCACCTTCCAAATCCACAACCACTTCCATCTAGAGGGTCAAGGGCATCAGACATATGGGAACACCACCATCTGCAAGTCCCCCTCCAAGTCACTCACCATCCTGACTTGGAAATATATCGCCATTCCTTCACTGTCGCTGGGTCAAAATCCTGGAATTCCCTCCCTAATAGCATTTTGGGTCAACCCACAGCAGGAGGACTGCTACAGTTCAAGAAGGCAGCTCACCACCACCTTCTCAAGGGCAACTAGGGATGGGCAAGAAATGCTGGCCACATCCCACAAATGAATAGAAAAAAAGAGAAAAGCAGTTGGACAAAGGAGCTGATAAAGATCTGGCTAGGACAGTGAATAGCTATTAATGGGGACTGTTAGTGGCTAATAATGCATGGTGTGTAATGTCAGACAATATGATAATAAGGCCTGGTGTGTGGGATGGTGGGCTAGATGGGAGAGTTCAGGCCCTAAAATTATTGAACTTGATATTGAGTCCGGAGAGCTGTAGGATCCCCTAGCAGAAAATGAGGTGCTATTCTTCCAGCTTGCATTGAGCTTCACTGGAACACTGCAGCAAGCCGGAGACAGAGATGTTAGCCAGGGAACAAGGTGGTGTGTTTAAGTGGCAGGCAACTGGAAGCTCAGGGTCTTTTTTGGGGGCAGAACTAAGATGTCCTGCGAAGCAGTCACCCAGTCTACACTTCGTTTCCCCAATGTAGAGGAAACCATATTGTGAGCAGCAAATGCAGTAGACTAGATTGTGGGAAATGCAGGTGAAGTGCTGCTTCACCTGAAAGGTATGTTTGGCTCCTTGGATACTGGGGCGGGAGGAGGTAAATGGGCAGGTGTTACACCTTCGACGGTTGCAGGGGAAGGTGCATAGGGCTGTGGGGGGCTGTTGGGGTGAAGGAAGAGTGGACCAAGGGTGTCCCGGAGAGAATGGTCCCTGCAGAAGGCGGACAAGGGAGGGATGGGAAATACGTGTCTGGTGGTGGAGGAAGTGGTGTCTGATGATCTTCTGGATGTGGATACTGGTGGGATGGTAGGTAAGGACAAAGGGAATCCTATCGCTGTTGTGGGAGGGAAAAGAAGGAGTGAGGGTGGAAGTGCAGGAGATGGGTCTTGAACAGATCCGTTCATTATTTTGTCGTTTACCTCAATTCTGCATGTCACTGCATGAAAGGAAAACGTGATATGTGGATGATGAAAAAGAATGTCTAATATCCATAAATAATCCCCACAGGATTAAAAAAATTTGGAAAGTTTTTAATCATAGGTGTGCAGACAAGGTACTTCTAGAAACACAATGACTTTTTTCAAGACATTATTTTATTAACAACAAAATGACAAAAGATTTCAAAGCACACCACATTTTAAAATTTACATTAAAATACATCACAAATGAAATTTTGCCATATCATGCACTATTAATACATAGAAAATACCTAAAACAGGGCATTTGTCCAAACAATGAGAAATTGGGAACATTCTTTAACACTTTAAGCAATATTTATGATTTAATTGAAGTGTCAATTTATGACAGGAGTTCCATATCAGTGACAATAAATATCACAGTGCCAACAGTATAGAATTGTTTGTTTTGATCATGAATTGGAGTAACGACTGCTACTTCACAATTTCAAATTTAATTCAGGTCAACTACATAGGTTATGCTGGAAGAAATGCCTATACACAGGAACAAATATATCAGACTGGTTGTGTGAGATGTTCATTCTTCAATTAATTTTAATACTGTGAAGCATTCATTTTTCAACAATTTTCCAAGTTAGCAGTAGGATTTCAAACTAGAAGGTCTCATCTTGTCGAAGATCTTTACCAGCAGGCAGTGCAAGGACCCCTTGAAATCATTTTGCAAATATGTCAGCATTATAGGTACAAAGTGCACTAATCTCATGAGGGGAAAATTATATACATCTACCAAATTAATAAAACGGTTTCATGTGCTTCTGACAAAGTTTGACACTTTGAATTGGTCATGTGGCAATCTGACAAAGTTTTAAGAAATTGTGAAGAAAATAGAATGAATCAGATTTAATGCACAATAACTTCTTCAAGGAAGCATGTTCAGTTCTGCCGCAAGCCTTAAGTTACAACACACTCCATTGGAGAAGCTACAGTATTAACATAGGACCACCTGAAATACAATGATTCAGTTTCAGTGTCAAATTATCATTCTTGTATTCAGTGGTAATGTTTGTTTTCTCTGTGTAAATCCACAATTAGCATCTACCTGTGTGGGAAACCTTACAATGGACGTTAGAGTTGTGTTGACTGGATGAGATTAATTATATTTCTAATGGCATTCAGCATCTAAGTTTTCTATCTGCTGAAACTATGGGGTAAATTTTCATCTAGTATTCACATAGGCAGTAAGCTAATGATGTAGATCACTGCCAAATGTTCAAGCCACTTGAATTTCATTCCATTGATAGGTTCCATAACAGGCTGGGAGGGGAAGGACATTTCACTCCACCAGAGTACTGTCCATGTGGTGAGGCTAAAAACTTAACCCACTTTTGTCTGATGATCAACCTGATCACGAAGGAAGTTTGCAGTAAATCACTTTCTGACCATTGGAACATGTTGCTGAATGTGCAATAATCAACTATATTCATTGCAAGCTCTACTCGATAGCATTTTAAACATTTAAACTCACATTCAAAATTGGAACAGCTCCAAGATGCTTGTGAGTTTTTCAAAGTGCAATAACTCGCTGACATTACACTAACAATGGTCCCATTCATTAGTAGTTATGTGCTGATACCATTTTATAAAATATTTCAAGAACAGTTGTGAGCAGAACAGCAAAAGACAGCTTCACATGGAACAATCAGACAAATATGATGGTCAAATCAATCCTGAAATGCACAATCCATTATACTTGAACTCTGTATTCTACCTTGCATCCACCATCTACCCAATTTTCCAAAATAACTGATACATATTTTGAAAAATTTTTCAAAAAATTTTCAAAAAACTTAAAAGTTTTCAATTTCACTTTGTATCAACACCCACCTTTACCCCCCAGATCTGATGACAAATGATATGGCTCATTCAGCTTGTCAGGCAACAGGTTATTATAAATTATACTAAAAGTCCATGACAGATTATATTCACATATATCATATTGATTTCAACCAGCAATATCTAACCCACAAAATACTGTCCTATTAAATGTTATAGGTGCCGTAATACATGGATAATACATGCAGACTTAATTAAATGTAATTTAAAATAATATTTACTACCATAACTAATAGAAATATATAGATTTAGATATCCACTTCTAGTTTGAATTTGACCAACTGGAAAATGGTGCACTCAATTATTATTTAGCATAGTTTTGACATAGAAGTCATTTCTTCTCTGAAATTCAAATTTGCAAAACAAAAAAAAATGAAGGAAGACGTATGCAGTGAGATTTGCTCCATTTCTTCAGGTGAAAAGTATCTGGCTAATTCCCCAGTCATCCCACAGATTGATAGATATTGTGAGAAATGGAAGATTGAGGTATCTGTTGAAAATATCTTTATAATAAAGTGGATTCAAACTTGGAATAGCTCTCTTTCAATCTGTCTAGCAAACATATTAGAATTTGCACTGAGAGGAATTTGAATACACGATGGAATCATGCTGATTTGAAAGATTTGATTGGAACTTTAGCAAATACCTAATGTCTCTTAACTGGTTTATTTGATATGCCTATTTTCCATCCACACAGCTTCCCAAACATATGTAATATTTCAAATAAACTGTTTTGTTATAAATATAAATGAGGAAAAAGATATTTCCACTGGCAGAAGGCTGGTATTAAGAGTACATAATTAAGACAATTGTCAAAAGAACCAGAGGGGAATTGGAGAGAATTCTTTTTAAGTAGCAAGCTGTTATTACATTCATTAACTGGAACACATTGCCTAAAAGGCTGCTGAAAGCAGATTCAAAAGTGAACTGGAATACCCTCAAAAAGGAAACATTTGCACTGTTAGGGGCAAGAGGATGGTAATGGCACAAATATGGATATCTCAGAGAGCTGACAAAAGCACAATGGCCACATTCTGTACTGTATGATTCTATGAAAGCAGTTGATCCAGGAAAGAAAGGTAAATAGTTGAATAATGGTGTGTACTGAATTACTTGGGCCCTTTGAGACGCAGCTGCGTACTTCAATTGCATCCAGCCACTCTGAACTGGAGGCCGAATTCTAGACAGAATGACTGAGGCTGGAAAATGTCAATGAGAACAGATACATCCTTTACACCATTCATAATCAAGCAGTTTACTGGAAATTACTATTCAGGATCAGAAATAAAGACTGCCAATTTGGATGGGATGACATACTGGGGGTGCCGTACATGGAATTGTACTCGAGCAAGGTTGTGTCAGCTTTAAAGATTTGAACAATCTATAGAAAGTATCTCAAAGCATTGGAGAAATACCATGAGTGGTACCTTTAGAAGTTTTTACAAATCTGGTGACCGCAAAGATGGTCCAGTGACTTTTGCCTAACGTTAAGCTGCAAATGAGTCAAAACCAGCTCTGAACCTGAACATGCCATTCATATTCCTGATTTCAGGCTCCTGAAGCAATGTTCCACTTGGAGATCAGTTGTAGCAGGAAACTCCCAGGAGACTGGCAGAAATGCTTTAGAGATCTCCTTAAAACATTCCAGAAAAGGTCTCACATACCCACTGACTCATGAAAAACCTTCTTGTGAATAATGAAAATGGGGAAGGCTCGTTCAGGAGAGCATCGTGACACTTTGTCAGGAAAATAAAGAGGTGAAGTCAAGGCATTGGAGGGACATAAACCTCTAAACAGTCCACCTACCCAATCTTAAAGAGTCACCTACCCCACCTTTGATAGAATCTACAGATCATGCAATAGACTGATTAGCCATTTCAGAACCCAAATGAATTGAAGTTGAAACAGGATTTTGCTTGACCCCTGGGGACAGTTTAAGAACAGAATTCTCCAGCAAGATTCAGGATCTTCAGGTGGTATGGAAGGAATATAGAAAATTAACTAAAGGGGAAAAAAACAAAAGGGGGAAAAATATTTGGCTTATCACTGTCAGTTTACTGATACTGATATATTGTAATTCAGTTTTGTACCTACCAGAATAAGCGATTTGTGATAAACCACTTACCAACTTAAACACATATTTAACTGAGGAGCATGGTCAGAATTTATCAACTGTTGCTTGAGATTTAAAAAAAATGTTTTGAGGTTTGGGATAGAAATAGTTAATCTTGGATTTCAATAACATTAATACCGTTTCTATCACATAGATGTTTCCTATCACATAGATACTTCCTCTTTACAAAACCCTGGTGTGGGGGAATAGGATGCTTTTCAAAAGGTAGGTGCAGACTCAATGGGCTGATTGGCCTCTTTCAGCCTTTTCTCAATAAAAAGTTTGTATGTGCATTTTCACTGAACAAAAAAATCTTTTGATTGCACAAGTAGATAATGAAAATGTTAAAAATCATGCCAATTTTTTTACAACTCTTGGAAACTTGCAATATCTGCAATTTGAAATTCATTATCAGTTTCCCTGTAGGTTATGGGAATGATATGAATAGTGCACATCATTCATGTCATTATACTTTCACTTAAATATTAATTAAAGAGTATGCTTGCATGACTTGTATTATCAGAATATTGCTGACTAGGATTTTCCGCAATACGCAACAAAGCTCTAGGCACCAACTTTATCATTTGTCATTTTTACATTTCTGCTCAATTATCCAAACCAAACTCAAAAGTAGAATATGCATTTGCTGAAGCCCCAGATAATGCCCAATTACAGTCTGCTTTTTGAAGTTGCGGTATGATCTTTTGTGAATGCTAGTGCAGAACCAGTTATGTCTTTCCTGGCTTGCTCAGTCAAGACTCAAGTTTAATAGACCCATATTGCTACTTTACTCATTCATGGCTTTGGTGGTGGTGCCAATTGACGTTGTCCAGAAATATTGCTGTTGCCATTTCACACAACTTGGCAACTTGCAGATTGTGTTGGGTAAATCAGAATCTGTATCCTTGATCTTTTTTTAGAGTCAGCATTATCCAAAGTTGGTGAAACTCCACCAGAAATTTTCCAGAATTAAAAGTGTTCGGGAATGCCCAATAGAATTTTTCAGTCAACAATTTCATAGTCAGTACCAAGCTATGAACCCAGAAAAACTGTTCAATTTCTCAGTATAGCCAAATGTTTCAGTGAGTTTGATGAAACAAACCTTTTCATCAGCTAAATTGGTGCCTTCTACAACCTGTCATATTTATGTTATCTTAAATAACAGCGTTCCCAAAACAATTCATCCATTACTGGACTAATAATTTGCAGTGTATTTAATTACCAGATGTAAATTCATCGCTTCTTTGCAGACCAGTCACAGTTTTCAGCTGGATCCGTCTGTTCGTTGAGTGAACTCCACAAAAATATAATTCAGCAATTCTACTACTGATGCATCTCGGGATGATCTTTAACCGAAATTGATAGTCAAACTCAAATATTTAACATATTTGATTACTCATTTATCATTAGGTTCCATGCCTTTATAGAGATTGTGATATTCTATTGCATTTTACCACTAGAAAATGCTTAAGCTGTATTTCTGGAACTTATTTTACATGGTAATTTCCCAATTCTTCCACTCATACTTGAGAATCTTTATTTGAATGAACTGCTTTGGTTTACTAACTCAATAACACATTTTTACTGCTTCCTTTGTGCTTTTTTTTTAACCTCTTTTGAATGTTTAGTACTTAATAAGTTCAGAGTTATGTAAATGAATGTCTCACTTTCCAACATAAAGCTGGGTAAGTGATACTTTCAAATCAGTATAACCCAAATTCGGAGAAGCACAAATTCAGAGGAAATATCTGCGAAAGCAAGTTTCATAGGCCAGGGAATTCAAACCTTTTAATGAATGTTGAACTTATTATAGTGATATTAATGTGCAATGCAGAGGTTATGTTACAATGTGAACTTCTGACACTAGGGAGGAAAGGACACAATTTAGGCTATTTATACATCATGTTACTTTAGATTTGACATTTTAATCCATCACTTCACTTGGCATTGGGACTGTGTAGAACAGTCCATGAGACTATAAGTGATCAACTAACTTTACCAGCAACTCCACAGCTCTTTTATATTCTCCACTCATGGCTATACATAACAATTGGACATCAAAGGCTTGTTCTCCCTTGCTACCCTGTCCAATGAACACATTGTGTGCCACTGGCCACATACTCAAAAGGAGTATCTTTTGCCTAAGTACTTGATCAGATGAGGAATCAAGTGATTGTGTTCAGGATGAAATGCTGTGACATGCAAACAAGATATAAATTTAGATTTTAGAGGAAAACTAAAGCAAATTTTTAAACAAAACTTATTATCATAATTCATCATTACTGCAAGAGGACAGCAAACTTAACAAAAGTGCTGAGTATTAGAAATACCAAGTATAACCTGAAACCATTGCAGGTCATCCAACAAATATCACTGAAGGCAGGTAAAGGTATTATCAGACTCTCACCCGAAAATTTGCAGCTTCTGTGAACTGTAACAATTGTGTATAAATTAGAAATACTAAGTTAGGGATGCATTGGCTTACAACAGCCCTACCTGTTTGAGTACTGTGCTCCTGGTACATGGTTTTTATACATTTTATTTTATTCATTTGTGGGATGTGGGCATCGCTGGCTGGCCGACATTTATTGACCATCCCTAGTTGCCCTTGAGAAGGTGGTGGTGAGCTGCCTTCTTGAATCACTACAGTTCACCCGCTGTGGGTTGACCCACAATGCTATTAGGGAGGGAATTTTAGAAATATGACATGCATGACATGTGATAACGGAGGGACATAAACCAGATGAAAGAAGAGTAATTTTATCTAGAAAGTACAGTTAATTCTATTCTGCTTAGTTTGTGCAGTGGGATTTATGTGAACAGCTCAGAGATCTCTTCTATCAGATCAAATGAATCAAATAATCACCTATCAATTCAAAACTGATTTGCATCAAAATTATATCAATTCAACATGAAAACTAAAAATTTAGTTATGCATAGAGGTCTAGCTAGGTTGGTTAATCCTCTCACATATTATCTTGTTTTGAACTCTATCCCCATGGTTTGATGCTGCCCTCATAAGACTACTCAGATCTCTGGCATTCACCTTTCCAAGCTCATTTCTCTTTCCTCACTCAAATATTCAATTTTTTTCTCCCCCTATTGTGGAATTTGTGGTTTTTAAGAGTTTGATTCAATTAAATCATCATTTTTGTTTTAGTGCAAAACATTTTTACCCTGAAAAATTCATCAATAATTCAAAACTACCCACAGCATAACCTCACTGTGTGATGTGAAATCTTACATGATTAAAATGGTAAATACACATTGATTTCGTTTCAACAGAATATTCTTGAATGTAGAATGTTTGAGATTTTTCTGAAGATATTCAAGCTGACACATGTGTTACATGATTAGACTAAATGGGCTTGCAACAAAACCCAGGATTCTGTCAGCACATTGAACCTGCTTGGGCACTGAATCTGTTCAGACTTGTCACCATTTCCTTTGACCAAATGACACTCTTTCAAAAAGAACACTATCAGAACGAAACAGACAATCATAACAATTCTTGTTCAAACACAGAATAAAAAGTTTTTCAAAAAGTGCAAAAACAACATATAAAAAAAAACTATCCAGCTGCATGACTACTTTCCATTCTACACAATTGCAGCTTGATCAGATTTCTGTATCAAAAATTCATCAATGAGAAACATTGGCTGTACTTGCTAATAGTCTACTTAAGCTTTATCTATATTTATTAAGAAGGGATGGAATTTCTTTGTCCATATCCTGTATTAAGTAATACTTGTGTTTGTGTAATCCTGTCATAATGCAGTCATAACATTGATGACGATCTTTGCAGGGTGTCGTTCCTTGCTTTTCTATTGCACAAGTTCTAGTCATTTGACACTTGTCAAAAAACTGACACAACGTCTTTGAGTCTTTAGTGCTACAGCTTCTTCCCAGCTTTTATGAAGTTTCCACTCCTCTTTTGTTCCATTGTTCAAATGTTCAGAACAGTGCAATGACTGAATAGAAAGTCTGGATGTTATGTCCATCCTTCCAGTTAGATGTTTCCGATTTGGTGTTGACTATTCTCAGACATTGTAACTAAGCGTTGGGGCAGTTAAGTGTAATGAAGCATTAAAAAATCCTAAATCTTACATCATTACAGCTCAATATTTCTCTCCACAGGTCTGCATTTGCTACAGTTCTGTATTTTTCAAAATTGACAATAGTCTTAACATTTAGGAGATCATCTGACATTTTAATGAGGTCAGACTTATTACACATGGCAGACTAGTGTGACAAGCAGAGCTCTCATGCAGTACAAACAGTTGGCAGAAGACTACACATCTATATTAGTGTAAAATTAAACATTCCAAATATATCAACTAATTGTGTTGGGAGTAATGGGGAGAAGACCAATTGAGGCGAATATCTTGGAATAAAAGTACCCACTCTCCCTCCTACCTCACTGCCATGACCCTCAGAATGTACATTCTTAATGTGGAAGATATTGCTTCCAAACGTGGATTTTTTTGGGAGGGTAATTATTGATCCTTAATTCATTATAACTTTAACCCCATCAGTTGAATATCATTTAGATTTTTTTATGAAAGCCATTTGCCTGCTCCTTTGTTAACCGAGGCTTCCTGGTCCTATTCTGAAATCTGGTGGCTCAAGGCTTGTTGGAGAATAAGTCACTGCGGGTTCTTTAATCCAGAGCAATGGGACACCATTTTTGCCATCAGACTTCTTCTGTGAGTTTAGGGTTTTATAGCGTGTTAATAAAATGGCAATAAGCAGGACTCCAAAAATTGGAAAAGGGTAGAAAAATATAAAGTAGAAAAGGGCATCATTTGAACAAATTGCTTCCTGAAGAGAAGAACCTGTAGGAAAGAAATAATGAAAATCAGAAACTTTCTTATTTTTTGACATTGCCACTCCCCCGCACTTTCATTTCCCTCTGCAATGACTGCCTCAACTTCTTCCTTCACTCCGTGTCATCGAAACATGAACTACTGACCTGAGTCCAGAGCATCCCATCCTTCAAGCTAAAGGAGGTATCTTTGTAACAACATCTTCTAATAGGACTGGACAGGGTAGATGTAGGGAGGATGTTCCTGATGGTGGGTGTGTCTAGAACCAGGGGTCACAGTGTGAGGATTCAGGGTAGATGATTTAGGATGGAGATGAGGAGACATTTCTTCACCCAAAGAGTGGTGAGCCTGTGGAATTCATTACCACAGGAAGTAGTTGATGCCAAAACATAGAATGTATTCAAGAGGCGATTAGATATAGCACTTGGGGTGAATGGGATCAAAGGTTATGGGGACAAAACAGGATTAGGCTATTGGGTTGGATAATCAGCCATGATCATGAGGAATGGCAGAGCAGGCTCAACGGGTCGAATGGCCTCCTCCTGCTCCTATCTTCTATGTTTTATATTTTGTTGAGAATATCTGGATGATTCTCGATACATATCTGGTGGTAATACTTCATATGCTCATTTGGAGAAAATTTAAGGACAAAAATTATGTTAACCTGAAATCAGTGATTAATTCCAGTTTGTATTTGAATGTATGAAACAAACACTAAATACCAAAATGATGTAACTGATGTTATGATTTGAAAGTTTTTTTTTCTTTTTAATTAGGAGTTCTTCGAGGATTAACAGACTGAATTCACAGGCAACTGGCATTTGAAAAAAAATGGCAGTTCTTTTTTGTGATATTTAGCCAAATTTCAAAATAGAATTGCCTGAAGTGTGTGGACAGATGCCTTGCTCTCATAATTTAAAAGTTAATCTTCAATACTTAAGATGTTATCTTTGTGCGTATAAACTTTCCGTTTCGGAAGGTTTAACACCAAAAAATACACAACATTTCTCTTGACAGATGCCAATACGATGCCCTGTTTATTTTCAGCATCTGTCTATTTGTTTCAGGTTTTCGGGTTTTGAGGTTTTCTTTACCTCCACTACAGATGAGGAGAAGCAGTGGTGTGGTGATATTGCTATTGGGCTAGTAATCCCAACATGACAGATTGTGGAATTCGAATTCAATTAATAAATAAAATCTGAAAACTTTAAACAAGGTGTCTAATGACGAACATCAAATCATGCAGTTTGTGGTTAAAAACCCACCTGGTTTAGGGAAGGAAATCTGCTAATCTTACATGGTCTGACTTATATGTAACTGTTGTGGATCTGCAATGTGGTTGACTCTTAAATGCCTTCTGAAGTAGCTTAGTTCAATCTAACTGCTACAAAGTCTCACAAAAGGACAGACCACAGACATCGAACAAATGCTAGAAACGGCACACGCAGTCCTGGTGACACTACAAAGTCCACCTTATTAACATCTGGCCACTAGTGTCAAATTTTGAATAGATATCTTATAGCCTAGTCAAGCAGCATGCTGACATAGTTATGCTCACAGAATCATCCCTTGCACACAATCTCCTAAATCCTGCCATTGCTATTCCTGGGCATGTCCAGACCTTTCCACAGAACAGATCCACAGCATAGTGGCACACAGTCAGGAAGAAGCTGTACTGGGAGACTTCAGCACTGACTCCTGACTTCATGAACTCTCATAGCATTAGGTGAAACCTGGGCAAAGAAACTTTCTACTGATAATCGCAGACCGACCACATCCACCCCTCCCCTCAGCTGATAGATCAGTTTTCCTCCATGTTGAACACCACTTGGAGGAAGCGCTGAAGAAATAAAAGGAACAGAATGTAATCTGGGTTTGGTCCTCAATGCCCCTCACCAACAGTGGCTGGGTAGCCCCATTACTGACTGAGCTGGCCATGTCCAAAAAGGTCGTAGCTGCTGGACAGGTCCTGCAGGAACTGATGAGGGAACTAGCAGGAAGGAACATTATACTTACCATGCTCTCACTATGCAAAGCAGCGAAGATGTGTCTGTCCATGATCGTTTCAGTAAGAGTGACCACTGCACAGTCCTGGTGGAGACACGGTGCTATCTTCACACCAATGATAACTATCATTGTGTTATGGGGCACTTCCACCATATTGAATAGGATAAGTTTCAGACAGGTCTGACAACTCATGAATGTGCATGCTTGAGGCATTAAGGATCATCATCAACAGCATAATTATACTTAACCATAATCTGTAACGTCATGGTTCCACTACTACCGCTAAGCCAAGGAATCAACTGTGAGCCAAAGCATAATGCAGATGGTCATGCCAGCAGCAGTAACATTAAAACCGATCAGATCTAAGCTCTGCAATCATGTCACATTCAGTCATGAATGGTAATTGACAATTAAATAACCCATTATGTGGAGGAGGTTCTATAGGTATTGTCATTCTCAATACATCAGCACAAAAGACAAGGCAGAAGCATTCCCAAGCATCTTCAGCCGAGTGGATGATTCATTTTGGATTCCTTGGAAGGTCCTTAGCATCACAGATGCTAATCTTCAATCAATTTGATTCACTCAACATGATGAAGAAATAGCTGAAGACATTAAGTACCATAAAGGATATGGCCCTGACAACATTTGGCAGCAGTACTGAAGAAATGTGCTCCAGAACTGGCCTTGCAAAGCTGTCCCAGTACAACTACATCACTAGTATTTAACTGACAATTTGGAAACTTACCCAGGTATTTGTCCCATACACCAAAAAAAGGACAAGTCTAACCCAACCAATTACCAGCCAATCAGTCTACTCTCGATCATCAGTAAAGTGATGGAAGGTGTCATCAACAGTGCTATCAAGCAGCACTTAACAAAAACCTGCTCACTGACTCTTATTTTCAGCTCTTTCAGACACATTCTGCTTTTGACCTCATTACAGCCTTGGTTCAAACATGGACCAAAGAGATGAACTCCAGATATGAAGTGAGAGTCACTGTCCATGGCCGTCAAGACCACATTTGAACGAGTGCAGCATCAAGGAGCTCTAGCAAAACTGGGACATTGAGAATCAGGAGGAAAACTGTCTACTGGTTGTATTTTTAGCTGGCAAAGGACAGTGGTTGTGATTGTTGGAAGTCAGTCATCTTACTCCCAGGACATCATTGCAGGAGTTCATCAGGGTAGTGTCCTGAGCCCAACCGTCTTCAGATGCATCATCAATAACCTTCCCTCATTATAAAGTCAGAAGTGGGGATGCTCGCTGATGATGGCACAGAGAAAGTCTAACCATTATCCATTGACATTCAATGGCATTACCATTACTGAATCCCCCACTATCAAAGTCCTGGGGGTTAATGTTGTCCTGAAACTTAACAGGACCAGCCATTTACATACTGTGGTTACAAACATATGTCTGAGACTGGAAATTCTGGTGAGTAACTTATCTCTTGACTCCCAAAGATCTTCCCGCCATCTACAGTGCACACATCAGGAGTGTTATGGAATATTCTTGACTTACCTGGGTGAATTCAGCTCCAACAACACTCAAGAAGCTCAACCTTATACTGGATAAAGCAGCCCACTGATTGGCATCCCTTCTAAAACCTTCAACATTTCCTTCCTCTACCACTGATATATAATGGCAGCAGTGTGTATCATCTGCAAGACAGCTTGCAACAAATTAACCAAGGCTCCTTCAACAACCTTTATTACGTAGAATCATGAAGGCAGCAGATAACTGGGAACAAAACCACCTGCAAGTTCCCCTTCAAGACACACACGACACTGACTTGGAGAATTATCACTATTCCTTCATTGTCACTAGGTCAAAATCCTGCAACTTGCTCCTTAAGAGCAATATGGGTATCTTTACATCTTTACATAGACTGCAGCAGAACAAGAAGACTGCTCAACACCAATTTCTCATAGGGAATTAGGGATGGGCACTAAATGCTGGGCTAACGAATGATTGAAAAGGAGCATGTGGAAACTTTACATCGGAATTTACAGATTGATCATGTGAACAAGCTGAACTTGAGCTACATTTTGTCAGTTTATGGATAAACTGAGGCACAGCTGATTAGTACAAATGGTATTTTGCACATAGGCTGTGGTTCACTTATCACACATAATGACAAATTACTTTGAAATCTTTTCTTCCAGGGTGTTTGAGGGAATATATACTGATTGACAGCAATGTGCGTTAGTGAAAATGACTGACAGGGCGTTGATGATTCCTGTAGTACTGATGACATACATCCCAAAAAAACATAAAATCAAAGCAAGGTACTGGGGATCTGAAAAAAGTGTCATGTGTCGGAAAAACTAAGCTGGTCTGATTTTGTGTTGGTAGACAGAGGAACAGGGTTAACATGTCAAGTTCAGTATGACTGTTCTTTGAAATGCCACAGAAACCGGCTTAGTTGAGCATCAGAAATCATAAACCTGAGTTATGTCTTTAAAACACACACCATTATTTTGGGGATAATGTTTAAGTCTGAGCCTCTGAGACATGACCTCAATAGTTGCATGAAAGATTCTATGGAAAGTAGTTACCAGGGCAGCTCTCAGCATATACAAGGGCTGCACAATCACTGTGTAATTATTGTTAATAAATACAATTTGAAGGAACAACTGGAAGTCTGGCCTGAGATTATTTGAAAAGCAGATGGATCCACACTAAAACATCTCTGAAGCACTTTGCAATGTTTTCTATCTCAAAGGCATGATATAAATGCAAACTTTAAATATAAATGTGTGCTGCTGTCACACTTTAGTCACACCCTATAATTCAACAGCACATTGCATTTATAATGCATTTAGAATAGAAAAATGACACTGAGCCAAAGAAAGGCTTTACAATGGGTGACAAAAACTTGAGGAAAAGAGGTGGGTTTTAAGGAGTGCCTTAAAGAATGGAAGGAGGAAAGGAAGGATCATGGAAGAAATTCCAGAGCACTGTGTAGCTGAAGGGAAGTTACCAATACTGGTGAGAAGTGAGGACCTATAAAGCAGGTAGACATTATGGAGATAGGAAGAAACTTGGCCAGAAAGAGATTTAAAATCAAAAATTGAATATGAAGCACACCAGAATGATATAGGTACGAGATAAAGGATGATTAGGAATTTGCGTAGGTCTAGGCCCGAAATGTCAGCCTTCCTGCCCCTCTGATGCTGCTTGGCCTGCTGTGTTCATCCAGCTCTACACCTTGTTATCTCTGTGTAGGATACAATATGTCTTGGAGAGCTTTGTATGAGTTGATGAGGATCGATGATGAAGAATTAGAAGTGGGCTAGGATCACATTGTTCAATATGAAGGTACATAGGCAAAATGTGGAGCAGATGAGTAGGGGTGGTTAAGGAAGTGAAATGAATTAATCTTTGTGATGGATGTTCCTTAATGTGTACTTTGATACTAATGTATGGATAATTTTCTAATTACAGAATTACTGAAATAAGCCATGTCCTTCTTGTTGGGATCAGGATGGAGTCAGGGAGCTGGTGGTCAGCAGACCTGGGGAGAGGCTGAAAAGCTTTCTCAAGAAGCCTAGTCCTGGATCAGTCCTGCTCCTGCTTGGCCACAATGAATGCAAAAGAACAATTTCCCTCAGAAAGCTGACAGGTCCAGCCTCTGGTCAAGCTGCTAGGCATCTCACAGGTCAAGTTGTCCCTCACATATTATTAAATATCAGCAGCTTGTGCCTTTGATATGTTAACTAAATCCCCCACCTCTCTTCTGGAGATGACTTTTCTACGAAGTAATTTATGGGCCTTTAAGATTTAGACATGTAAAAAAAGGGGTCAGGAATAATCTCAGAGATAGTAAGAATTGCCGATGCTGGAGTCAGAGATAACACAGTGTGGAGCTGGAGGAGCACAGCAGGCCAGGTAGCATCAGAGGAGCAAGAAAGTTGATGTTTCGGGTCAGGACCCTTCTGCAGAAATAATCTCTTTCTTCATAGTTTTTATTGAAAATCTCCAGTCATATTCTATCAAGGTTCCGCATCCTAGACTGGTTAGCAAGGTTAGATTACGTAGGAAATGGGAGAGCCAGCCAATTGGATACAAAATTGGCTTGCAGGTGGGAGACAGAGGGTAGTGGTGGAGGGTTGCTTTTTGGTCTGGTGTGCTGCGAGGGTCGGTGATGGGTCCGCTGCTTTTTGTCATTTATATAAATGATTTGGATTTGAACATAGGAGGTACGGTTAGTAAGTTTGCAGATCACGAAAATTGGTGGTGTAGTGGACAGCCAAAAACGTTATCTCAGAGCACAATCGGATCTTAATCAGATGGGCAAATGGCTAAGGTGTGACAGATGGAGATTAATTTAGATGAGTGTGAGGTGTTGCATAGTGGTAAGGCAAACCAGGGCAAGACTTATATAGTTAATGATAGGGGCCTGGGGACTGTTGCAGAACAAGGAGACCTAGGGGTGCAGGTGCATAGTTCCTTGAAAGTTGAGTTGTAGGTAGACAGGGTGGTGAAGAAAGCTTTTGGTACGCTTGCCTTTATTAATCAGTGCATTGAGTATGGGAGTTAATACGTCATATTGCAGCTATACAGGACATTGGTGAGGCCACTTATGGAATACTCCGTACAATTCTTGTCTCCCTGCTATAGGAAAGATAGCGTTAAAAATTGAAAGGGTTCAGAAAATATTTACAACGGTATTGCTGGGATTGGAGGGTTTGAGCTACAGGGAGGGGCTGGAATAAACTGGGGCATTTTCCCCTGGAGCACTGGGGGCTGAGGGGTGACATTATCATTGAATCATAGAATCCCTACAGTGTGAAAGCAGGCCATTCAGTCCATCAAGTCCATACCACCCTTCTGAAGAGCATTCCACCCAGACCCACACCCTGACCCTATTCCTATAATGCCATGGTTAATGCACCTACCCTGTACATCCTGGACATTATATGCAATTTAGCATGGCCACGCCACCTAACCTGCATATCTTTGGATTGTGGGAGGAAACTAGAGCACCTGGAAGAAACCTATACGGACATTGGGCGAATATGCAAACACCATACAGACAGTTGCCTGAGGCTGGATTCAAACCCAGGTCCCTATCACTGTGAGGCAGCAGTGCTAACCACTGAGCCACCGTTATACCCTTAGCATTCCTTACACCTACCAGCCTTGCTCTTCAAACTAACAGGAACACACTGTCTCTGAACTCTCATTATCTCATTTTTGGAAGCCTCCCACTTCCCAACTGTCCCTTTATCTGTGAATAGCCTCCCCCAATCAACTTTTGAAGATTCCTCTTATAAAGCCATGAGAGGCATGGATAGGATGAATAGCCAAGGTCTTTTTCCCAGGGTGGGGGCGTATAAAAGTAGACAGCTTAAGTTCAAGGTGAGAAGGGAAAGATTTAAAAGGGACCTAAGAGGTAATTTTTTCATGTAGAGAGTGTGGTGCGTGTATGGAATGAGTTGCCAGGGGAAGTGGTGGAGGCAGGTACAGTCACAACATTTAAAAGGCATTTGGATGGGCATTTGAATAGGGAGGGATTAGAGGGATATGAGCCAACTGCTGCCAAATGGGACTAGATCAATTTAGAATATCAGGTTAGTGCAGATCGAAGTTGGACCGAAGGGTCTGTCTCTGTGCTGTGTAACTCTATGACTTTATCAAAAAGTACTTTTCTGATACATAGCTGCCACATCAGTTCTTCTCCCATTCTATGTAAACCACGCAAAACAAGAAATGATTGTATGATTAATACATTAAAAAATAAATACTTATCTCAGGAAAATGACAATTATATCCAGTGCACTTTCACTCACTCTGCTGTCTCCCCAATACTTCATACTTGGCAGGCCAACTTCATGCATGTGCTCCTGACTCAATCCCTCCCTAGTTTCACCTATGACCAGTCTACATTCCGCTATTTGTGGTCTCCTGCCACTTACTGCTCTGGCCATTCCCTCTTGCAGTTTTTCACTATTTCCTGGAAGACTATTAATACAAAAACAGAAGAAAAATCTAGAAATTGAGGAAGAGAAACAATGAGACAAAAATAGATGAATAGAAACAAAAACAGAAGAACAGATATCAACAAAGAGAATAAGAGGTACAGTAACAGATCAACTTAGACAAATGAAGAAAGTTAGGAATACAGGAAGAAACTCATAGAAATGAGAGGAATAAAACACAACATTAATTTGCATTTTACAGTAGCTTTGCCCCAGTAAAATATCTTACTCTACTTCACATAAAGTGGACACTAAGCAGTTGTGGAGGAGGAAATTGGTGACTATAGACAAAACCAAAACTGTTTGCAGTGGCTGCGGCACTGGATGTGCGAAAAAGGAACGAAAAATTGACAAAGACAAACAAATGAGCTCAAGTCCTGACAGCAAAGTTGCTGGTTTAAGTGATCCAGGTAGTGAAGAGAGACAATTCAGATTCTGGTGGTTGTTGTAGCTTTCAAGCTTCAAGTGTTTGACATCTAAACCTTGCTGCAAATCGAGAAGTGTCAGGGGTCTGGAAGTGGTTAGGAAGATCTGTGTCTTAGAGATTAGCGGGGATCTGGAGGTTGAGCCATTCGGCCCAACAGGCCTACACCAACCAAGCCTCCAAAGAGAATCCCACCTAGACCCATCCGCCTAACCCTGCATTTCCCATGACTAACACACCTAGCCTGCACATCCTTGAACACTATGGGCAATTTAGTATGGCCAATCCAACTAACCTGCACATCTTTGGACTTCTTCATAAAGCATTCCCAAAGCATCATATACTTGGCATTAAGAATGAACTCAATTATTTAATATACTTATTAATATTTAATATAATATGATTCAGGAAATATCAGCATTTTGCCTGTGAACAAGTTACCTTTTTCTTGTACGGTGATCATGACCAGCCCAGACTCATCCTCTCCTAGTTTATACCAGACATTGTTGGCGTTTTGAATCCATTCCTCCACGTGGCATGAGTAGTTGCCTGTATCACTGCTGGCAGAGTCCTGCACAGTCAAGATGTACAGTCCATTGGAAGGTCTCTCTAACTGCAGTCTCTCCTTCATTCCTTCGACTCCATCCAGGGAAACATCAAATGCAAACACTGAATTGTGATCAACTTTTAAAATGGTCTCCTTCACAATTTGGTCAGCACCTTCTTTGACTTTCCACATGAACCAAGTTACAGCAAATTGAGAATTATCTTGTGTTTGATGGGTTACATTACAGGTGAGCTGAAACAGGTCCTTCTCTGGTATGCTAATATTCAATTCAGTTTTATCCACTTGCATTTTAAATTCTGTTTGCAAAATTGAAAACAAGAAGTTAACAGATCTTAATATTTAACTTGTGAAAATCTGAGAAAGTCAATGTACCCATTTTTCTATTTGTTGAACAAACTCACTAATCTGATCCTCCCAACAGGGCAACACATTTGAACACAATGGGCAGGTCAGAGCATCTGCTGTGTTGCAGTCCTACCTCCAATCCTTACTTCCTTTATTCGTTGCTTCCAACTGGGAGTGCAGGATCAGTAAATTTGTCTTAAGTTCACATTATTCCTCTCCTTCAAAGAGTGAAACAAAGGACATTCAGTCATCTCTGCCCAGATCAACCACCAGCAGGAAAGATTGAAAGGTGCAGAAAGGACCCTTCTTAATAAATTGTCAAGTACAAGAATTACAGAAGGATCCGCAGCAACAAAGTTGATGGAACTTTGAATTATATAGTAGACATGACTACTATAGAAGGGCACTATACGATCATTTGGGATGGTTCTCTCGTTCAGTTTGCCGACTTCTTGCCGCCCAGAACTACAGATTAAAATACCAGCAATCTTTTTGGGTTACGAACGGTTATATGAGCAAGCCCTTTTAGCAAAGCCAAGAGCAAAGAGTTAAAAAACAAGAGATGATATTTTGATTTCGTGAGAGCAAACTGAGACATGGAGGTAAAGTCAATAGCACATTTGCAGTGTGTCAAATAGTACGCTGGCCTCTGAAGGATCTGTACTTGTCATATACAAGAAACTGCCGATGCTGGAGTCAGAGGAGGCCCAGGATGGACATGTCGTCCAGGGAGTGGGAGGGGGAGTTGAAGTGGTTCGTGACTGGAAGGTGTTGTCGTTTGTTGCAAACCAAGCGCAGGTGCTCCACAAAGCAGTCTCCGAGCCTACGCTTGGTCTCACTGATGTAGAGGAGGCCACATCTGGAGCAATGAATGAAGTAGACCACATTAGCAGATGTGCAGGTGAATATCCGTCTGATGTGGAAGGTTTTTTTGGGGCCTGGGATGGAGGTGAGTGGGGAGGTATAGGAACAGGTGTACCACTTCCTGCGATTGCAGGGAAATGTGCCAGGGATCATGGGGCTAGTGGGGAGTGTGGAGCGGACGAGGAAGTCGCGGAGAGAGTGGTTCCTCTGGAAGGCAGATGGGGTGGGGAGGGAAATATATCCTTGGTTGTGGGGTCATTTTGTAGGTGGTGAAAGTGGCGGAGAATGAGGTGTTGAATCTGGAGGTTAGTGGGGTGATACATGAGGACAAGGGGAATTCTGTCTTTGTTTTTGTTGCGGGGAGGGTGTGTGATGGCTGAGGTGTGGGGAATACAAGCGATGTGGTCGACAGCGTTTTCGACCAATAAAGTGGAGAAGTTGCGGTCCTGGAAATACGAGGACATCTGGGATATTCGGGAGAGGAATGCCTCATCTTGGGAGCAGATGTGGAGGAATTGGGAGTAGGGGATCGCATGCTTGCAGGAAGGTGGGTGAGAGGAGACGTAGTCTAGGTAGCTGTGAGAGTCGATGGGCTTGAAATAGATATCAGTTTCAAGGTGGTTACTGCAGATGGAGACAGAGAGGTCCAGGAAGGAGAGAGAGGTATCAGAGATGGTCCAGGTGAATTTGAGGTTGGGGTGAAAGGTGTTAGTAAAGTTGATGAACTGTTTGAGCTCCTCCACCAATACAGTCATCGATATAGCGGAAGAGGTGGGGTGTAGCGCCAGTGTAGCTGCGGAAGAGGGACTGTTCCACGCATCCTACGAAGAGGCAGGCATAGTTTGGGCCCATGCGGGTTCCCGTGGCCACCCCCTTAATCTGTAGGAAGTGGGAGGAGTTAAAGGAGAAGTTGTTCAGGGTAAGGGCGCGTTCGGTTAAGCGGATGAGGGTGTCGTTGGAGGGGGACTGGTTGGGCCTGTGGGAGAGGAAGAAGCACAGGGTTTTTAGGCCATTTGCGTGGGGAATGCAAGTGTATAGGGACTGGACGTCCACAGTGAGGATGAGGTGTTGGGGGCCAGGGAATTGGAAGTCTTGGAGGAGGTGGAGGCCGTGGGTGGTGTCCCGGACATAAGTAGGAAGTTCTTGGACTGGGGGTGGGGGGGAGAAAATAGAGTCGAGATAAGCAGAAATAAGTTCAGTGGGGCAGGAGCAGGCGGAGACAATGGGTCGACCAGGGCAGTCAGGTTTGTGGATTTTGGGAAGGAGATAGAAATGGGTGGTGCGGCACTGGGGAACGATGAGGTTGGAGGCTGTGGGCGGGAGATCACCTGAGGTGATGAGGTTATGGATGGTCTGGGAGATGATGTTTTGGTGGTTGGGGTGGGGTCATGATCGAGGGGGCAGTAGGAGGAGGTGTCAGAGAGTTGGCGCCTGGCCTCGGCGATGTAAAGGTCAGTGCGCCATACCACAACTGCGCCTCCCTTATCTGCGATTTGATGGTGAGTTTAGGGTTGGAGCAGAGGGAGTGGAGGGCTGCACATTCTGTGGGGGAGAGATTGGAGTGAGTGAGAGGGGTGTCATATATTTTGCATGCCGTGAGAGTCAACAGTGGAAAACAATATTCAATGAGTCCAAAATAGTTAGAAAATCTCATGACAACTGGTTTACAATCATTTAAAGGCAACATGCACCAGTTGGGATGTGCAGCTGTGTAAAGGCAGTGATTTTCTTTGCTTAACTCCATGCGACAAGGGAGGGGAGCAGGAGATGGAGTTCCTGCATGGAAGCTTGGGAATGGCAACAGTGAATCAATAGTAAATGGATTGTCGAATGGAATCACCATAGTAGAGGAGTGAGTTCACAAGTATAGGGAAGTGAAATAGGAAGGGCATTGTATCCTGGAAATGATGGGATAGTGAAATCAAGAAAATATGGGGGCAAAGGGCATTGTCAGTACAATCCAAATGAGAGTCCATTTCAGGTCGTTGGTTGGCAGAATCCCCACAGGGCTTTGGTACAACATTTCAACTAATCCCTGCAGAGATCATTCTTGGACAATATCCTTTGTAATGCATGGAAGAGGGGACCAGTTGAGCTTGCAAATTCAGCTGTGTCCCACAGAGTGGTGAGTACAACACTGGACACTAACATAAATACTCAAAGAATGGACACAAAAATACAGCATTGTTTCTTCCACAATAAAGGAAATGTCCCTATAACATCCGTGTAATCATCAACACATCCCAACCATGAGGTAGGCCAGCACATTTAACTTTGACTAAGATAATCTCAACAAGTAACAATGATGCACACATGAATAAAGTGAAATCATTGTAATGTGAAATACTTACAACTTAAATTTAATTTTGAGGAACACCTGCACCACCTTTGGGCTCTCAAGTCTTATGTTAATATCAGTGGAGTTGGGCAGAATGCTGTGGTCAAAATACAGAGTCTCCTTGTTTGACCAGAAGCTCCTCTGACCAGACCCTCTGTAGGTGCAGCATTGTCAACTGATGGCAGGTTTTACCAATGAGAAACTTCTGCTGCCACTAAATCAAATGTGTTTTGCATGCAGACTCTGGCACTTCTAGATTTAAATTTAATCACATGGGAAGAAGCAGATATAGGAAATGAAAGTGGCAAGCTGCTGAGAAAATCCCTGTCATGGAGTTAGCTCCATAATGTCTGTCCACCTCCAAGCAGTTTTCCCATTGAACAGTCCCCAATGGCTGAGGTTTCCCAGCCTCATTTTCCAGATACAGATACCATGAGTGGTGCTTCCCCCACCCCACAATTCACCGCAGTAATGAGGCAGTCAAGCCCACATCCACAATGTGCAGATTCAGGAGTGAAAATCATTGCCTGCTGTCTTGAGACATGCATTGTAGATTGCAGTCAATTTCCATTTAACACTAACAGTAAGATTACACTACATTAAAACTGCATCATCAAAACCACAGCTGGAGGCTTACATTTGGTCCCAGTATAACGTGGGCTGTCAAATGAAGTTCATTCTGGAAAGGTTCCAATCCACAATGGCCTATTTCATGTCTTTCCTCCATATGTATTAAAAAATAGATTCTGTACAACTGATCTCAAAATTTCAGTTTTGCTGAATTATTCCTTGTGATGCAGTAATATATTAATTTCTGGAGTTTCCCGGAGCTCAATCCCATCAGCTAACTCAAATAAACTGTTATTTTGGCAGGATAATTTCTGCCTCCTTTGCATCTGATCACATCTTACACCTTTTCTGACTATTGTCACTGAAGTTGACATCAGTTTAATCATGAATAAATGAGGCAGAGATGAATGTCCAGCTAATATTTCAATTGAAATAACTCTTTTAAAGTAAGTCACACTGTGATTAAGTCAATATTAACACCAGCAGTGCTAATGAGATTTAAAGAGATTGCCTTAGGCAAACTATGGCTATATGATTAGATTTGCTTTTCGTTTATTTCCATTTAATAACATCTGTGCCTTGATTCACAAGTAACCAATATATAATTATTATCCAAGAAATTTGTGCATAACTGCCTGACTATACCTCTGGCCACAAAAGTATGAGAAAGAAGAACAGGAGTAGGCCACATGATATCTCGAGACTGCTCCATCATTCAATAATGTCATGATTGAGCTGATCCTGGCCCAAATTCCACTTCACTGCCTAAGTCCCATTGGTCTTGGTTCCCTTGTAGACCAATAAACCAGCCTTCATGACTCTCTGAGATGGAAAATTCCAGTGTAACAATACCCTGAGAAGAAATTTCTCCTCATCTTCATCTTAAATGGGGGACTCAAATGGGAGACTTAAATGAGAGGGTTGGATTATGAGGAGAGACTGAGTAGACTGGGCTTATACTCATTGGAATTCAGAAGAATGAGGGGAGATCTTATAGAAACATAGAAGATTATGAAGGGAATAGATAAAGTGGAGGCAGGGAGGTTGTTTCCGCTAGCCTCAAAATAAAGGGAAGCAGATGTAGGACTGAGGTCAGGAGGAACTTCTTCACCCAAAGGGTTGTGAATCTGTGGAATTCCCTGCCTAGTGAAGTGGTTGAAGCTACCTCGCTGAATGTTTTTAAGGCAAGGCTAGATAAATTTTTGAACAGTAAAGGAATTAAGGGTTATGGTGAGTGGACGGGTAAGTGGAGCTGAGTCTCAAAGATCAGCCATGATCTTATTAAATGCAGCACAGGCTCGAGGGGCCAGATGGCCTACTCCTGCTCCTAGTTCTTATGTTCTCTCAGTTTGAAGCTATGTCCCTAGTCCTGGAAACCCCGACAGCAGGAAACATTCTCTCAGCATCTACTCTGTCAAACACTCTCATGTGCTCATGTTTCTAAATTGTTTCTCATTCCTGGCCCTTTCAAGACAGCCCTCCAACCGTCAAATATTCTTTCCTCTTCCATCCCATTGCATATACACATGTACGCAGATGTATAATGTGTATACCATAACTGTTAAGCTGCCAACGTGTGATATACTACTGGACAGAACAATGCTACAAACAGGATTAACTTTACTCAGGTACTGGCTAAGAAGAGTTTACAGAACACATTAAACTGTACAAAGTACGTTGCATGTGAATTTTACAAGAAACTTCTTCAACATGGGATGCAAAAAGAGAATATATGGAAATCAGAATAGGGTGAATATTATCATGAGTGCACAGCCTGGATGAAGTGGATAGTATTGAGTTCACTGAAGAATCTGATGTCTTTATTACTGACATAACTGAATTTATCAATGCTGCCTCATCCAATTAACAGGACTGACCTATACCATGACAGTGACAGTACACTTCTTTGAAATACAGAGCACACGTTACCAGCTCTCAAGTTTTCAGGAAACCAGAGCATGCATTTAAATCTTGCTCATCCCACATTACCTGCATTAAACGTGTGCAATTTTGAGGGTTGGGGGCAACACATATGGCAAGCAAAATACTTGAACAACATGCACTGCGGTATTATGATGGACAATGTATTTTGATTCTAGCATCTGTATTGGAGGCAAGATAACATAACTTGGTTGGGAATCGCTATTGGTTGGGATGCAATGCATTCGGTGCCAAAAGAGGCGAAACTTTCTCTGCTATATTTACGATGCTAACATCATTGTAATTTAAAATGGAGGCTAACTCAGTCCATATCAATCTGTTGAAAGGTATTACATTTCAGAAACCAGATTTAAGCTAATGTTCTGCATAATTTAATTTTTCATACATCATACAATCATGTCTTAAAATTTTCAGTAAGGTGGACTCATATAATATGGTCTAATGCTAATCAAAAGGATAGTTTTTGAAACAATCCTTCATTAAAGCATTCTTTCCTAAACTGAAAATAATAGCTATACGGTACCTGGTTGTTGTACAGTCACAAAAGTCAGTCCAGACTGATCCTCTCCCAGTTTATACCAAACATCATTGGGGTCAAGTAGCCACTCTTCCACATAACAATAATAACTGCCACTATCATATGTCGTTGCTTTCTTCAGTATCACATTATATAGATCATTAGTAGCTTTTTCAAATTGTAGTCTATCCCTCAGACTTGCACTGTCATTGATGGAGCTGCCATATTCAAAAACAGAATTCCGATTCAGGTGGAGAATGGGGTATTGTTCTTGCCCCTCTATTTTCTGGGAATACCACGTCACAGATATTTGGGAGTCTAGGTTAGTACGGTTGCTGATCTTGCATTCCAGTTGAATTTGGCTGTCCTCAGGCACAGCGATACTTTTCTCAACTTTGTCAGTTTGCAAGTTGCTTTCTGTAGGTACAAGAGAGTTTTTACTTTATTAAAAGGAAACCTGAGAGCCTTTAAATATTATAGAAGCTTGGTTCCATTAGTCCCCAAACACACTAATTTATTGGATATTCAATTCAAATACATTAACTTGATGGAGTTAAGAAAAGTGATTTCTGAAAACACAAATAGTTTAACTTTTACATTTTGATGCATCAAATGGAGTAAAACAGAAATCGCTGGAAATCACAGCATCACAAAATAGTTACAACAATGGAAAGACAGACTCAGCCCACCGTGCCCGTGCTGGCTCTTTGTAAACGTTAATCAGCTATTTTCACTCTCCTGTCATTTCTACATAGCCCTGCAATTATTTTCTTTTTGGATAATTTTCTAACCTTAGTTTTGAACTTCATGATTTAATCTGCCCTATCTCTCTTTCAGATATTGCATTCTGGATACCAACCTCTTGCTGCATGAAATCTTTTCCTCATGTCACCTCTGATTTTTTTTGAAAATCATCTTAAATCACTGCCCTCAGGTTCTTGATCTTTCTTTAAACAGGAACCTATACACTCTCCAGAATCCCCATGATTCTGAACACTTTTATCAAATGTCTGCTTAACCTTCTCTTTTCTAAAGAAAACAGCCCTATTTTGTCCAATTGATCTACATAACTTATGTGCATAGAATCCCTACAAGTGTGGAAACAGGCCCTTCAGTCCAACATGTCCACACCGACCCTTGGAGCATCCTACCCAGACCCATCTCCCTATAGCCCACCTAAGCTACACATCCCTGAACAGTACAGGCAACTCAGCATGGCTAATCCACCTAACCTACACATCTTTGGACTGTGGGAGGAAACCGGAGCACCCGGAGGAAACCCACACAGACATTGGGACAATGTGCAAACTCCACACAGACAGTCAGCCGAGGGTGGAATTGAACCTGGGTCCCTGGCGCTGTGAGGTGGCAGTGCTAATCACTGAGCCACCATGCCGACCAAATCTTTGTAAATTTTTTCTGCAAGCATTCGATTGCCTTCACATCCTTCTGAAAGCACTTTGCCCAGAATTGGCTGAACCAGTGTTTTGTAAAGGTTTTTCATAAATTGCTTCTTTTTGTACTTGATGCCAATATTCATAAAGTACAGGAGCTCAGATACTTTATTGGCCACTTTCTCAACTTCTCCTGCCAGCTTCAATGAGTTTGGAGAAAGAGAGATGGAATTTGCTGTTCTCCCCAGGTCTAGAGCCAGGGAGGCATTTAATTGGGCAAGAGGGTGTCTGGTGGGGACCATACCACCTTCCTGCCTCTGTCCCAATGAAGTCTGGATTGGGAAGACTCACAGATGGCCTTCCTTTCCTGACGCCAATTTAGGTGAAAGCAACATGCAGCAAAGGTAGAGGTTCCATGACCATAGTAAGCCAGCTAGTATATTCTGTACAAATGCATGAATCCAAAATGAGTTATTGCATTGCTTTCACAATTGTTGGTTGCTGTATCTCTGCTACTGCTGTCACCTTGGCAGGATCCAGGCAGAGAGCTTTTGCTGTAAATACACAACCTATGTACTTGACTTAATGAAATTTTCAAATGTATCTTATTCAGCTTCATCTTCATCTGATGAATTCTCTCTTTAGTAGTCACACTAGATTCTGATTGTGGTCTGCAATGGCTTCTTCAAGATGATCAGAGGATTAGATAGGGTGGACAGTAGGAGCCTTTTTCCTCGGATGGTGATGGCTAGCACGAGGGGACATAGCTTTAAATTGAGGGGTGATAGATATAGGACAGATGTCAGAGGTAGGTTCTTTACTCAGAGAGTAGTAAGGGCGTGGAATGCCCTGCCTGCAAAAATAGTAGACTCGCCAACTTTAAGGGCATTTAAATGGTCATTGGATAAACATATGCATGATAATGGAATAGTTTAGGTTAGATGGGCTTCAGATTAGTTTCACAGGTCGGCGCAACATCGAGGGCCGAAGGGCCTGTACTGCGCTGTAATGTTCTATGTTCTTCCATTGTGTTTCCACATCCGTAGACTAGTAGATCATCCAATATGTCTTCTAATTCAAGAAGATCACTGACTGCCTTGTGCTGTCTACTTTGGTGCTCTTCCAGAGCAGTGGAAATGCCAAGTGGCATGAGCAACTATCTGTAACCCTGAATGGGTTTTCATTTAGCTTCACTTGCCAATAACTTTTTTTTTTGCATCAAGGGCAAGCTCTGGTAAAATCTATTCATTGGGAAATAGCATATCGGAAATTAAGTAGGCCATTCAGCCCTTTGAGCCTGCTCCACTATCCAATGTGATCATGGCTGATATCTAATTTAGTACCCTGTTCCTGCTTTCTTCCCATATCCTTTGATCCCTTTAGTCCTAAGAACTATATCTACATCTTTCTTGAAAGTCTTCAATATTTTGCCTCAACTGTTTCCTGTGGCAGAGGATTCAACAGGCTCACCACTCCCTGGGTGAAGAAATTTCTCCTCATCTCTGGCCTAAAAAGCCTACCCCATATCCTTAAACTATGACCCCTAATTCTAGAGTCCCTGGTCATCAAGAACATCTTTCCTGTATCTACCCTGGCTTATTCTGTTAGAAATTTTCTAGATTTCTATGCTATTCCCCCTCCTCCCCATTCTTCTAAACTCTATTGAATATAGTCCTAACTGATTCAGTCTTTCCACATACATCAGTCCCACCATCCCAGGAATTAGTCCAGCAAAGCTTCTTCGTACTCAATAGCCAGAAAATCCGTGCTTAGATAAGGTGACCAAAACTGCACACAATACTCCAGGTGTGGTCTTACCAAGACTCTGTGCAGTTGCAGTAAGTCATCTGAACTCGTGTAATTGAATCCACTCTCTATGAAGGCCAACATACCATTTGCCTTCTTCGCTACTTGTTTACCTTCAGTGACTTGTGTAAAAGGTCTCATTGCACCTACCCCTTTCCCAATCTATCCCCATTCAGATAGTAATCTGCCTCCCTCTTTTTTGCTATCAAAGCGATAGTCTCACATTTATCCACATAATAGTGACTCTACCATGTATTTGTCCACTTAACTTGTCCGAATCATACTGAAGCCTGTTTGTTTCCTTCCCACAGTATACCCTCCCATCCGGTTTGGTGTCATCTGCAAACCTGGAGATGTGACACTTAAATCATTAATATATATTGTGAATAGCTAGGGTCCAAGCTGCCAAAGGCTGTACCTTGTCCACGTTACTAGGCACATCCTTGATAAATTCCAGCAGATTTGGAAGGGTGACTTCTCCTTCGTAAGCCCATATTGACTCTGTCTGATCCTGTCATTATTTGATGGTTGGCATGGCATAGTGAGATATCTTCAATGATTTATTGAGATCCTTTAGATCTACGCATACTCTCAGCTTACCAGGTTCATTTGCTACTACTATGCTCTCCTCATCAGATGCTGAGTTAGTCTTACACTCTCATTTATATCAAAATGACATTCACCAGGAAGACACAGTGTCATACAGCACAGAAACAGACCCTTCAGCCCAACTTGTCCATGCTAACGAGGTTTCCTAAACTGAACTAGTCCCATTTGCCTGCGTTTGGCCCATATCCCTCTTAAACCCTTCCTATCCATGTACCTGTCCAAATGTCTTTTAAGTGTTGTAATTCTACCTGTCCCTACCACTACCACTGGCAGTTCGTTCTATATACACACCACCCTCTGTGTGGGAAAGTTGCCCCTCAGGTCCCTTTCCCCTCTCACCTTCAGCCCATGCCTTCTAGTTTTGGACACCCTTACCTTGGGGAAAAGACCTTGGTTGAATGGCTTATCTATACCCATTGTGATTTTATAAACCTTTATAAGGTCACGTCTCAGCCTCCTACATTCCAAGGAAAAATCTCAGCCTATCCAGCCTCTTCAGACCAGTAACTGCATCCTTGTAATCTTCAAGGGTCTGTTCATCAGTCAATGGCTTGGTGGCCAGGAAAATATTGCAAATCAATTTTGGCAAATGTAATGTTTTCAGTCCAATCAAATCAGCTGAGATAAATGGATTTTGCTTACTATCACTAACAGATCTTCATTTTTCCCCCTGCTTTGAGCTCTCACCTTCATTTGTCCTCTTGGGATGGGTATTGTTCCATCACATAGCCTCAACCTTACCATCAAAAGTTTCATGTTTCATGTTACCTTCTTGAGCAATCACACAAGTCCTCAAAACTCATGCTGTTGCATAAAGTACTGGTGTCTATTTGGTGTTTCATATTCATTTGATACTCTCCTTCTGCAGTAATCATTCTAATAATCACAACCAATTTATTACCTTTAGATCTGATGAAACCAACCTGTATTATGCTGTAGAGCAATTTATCAGAATAAACGGCTGACATCTCTCCAAAAGCCATCTGTACAGGCTTACTTTGCTTATTTCTAGCTAAACACTGCCATGTAAAGTGATTCAGCTTCTTGCAATGAAAGCATTGTTTCCCCAACACTGGACATGTATTTTTTTCTTTTGAATGGAGGCCTCTGCAATATTTACATCCAGTCCTCAGGCTTTGATCATTCTGCTGGCTCTTGAACAAATACTTCTTCCTTTTTTCCAATATGTTGTTCTCATTTGACCTGGAATATGAGTCAATAAATGTGGAGCTGGAAAAGCACAGCAGGTCAGACAGCATTCGAGGAGCAGGAAAGTCAATGTTTCGGGCCGAAAGCCTTCATCAGGACTGACGAATGATTTTGGCCCGAAACATTGACTTTCCTGCTTCTTGATGATGCCTGACCTGCTGTGCTTTTCCGGCTCCACATTTATTGACTCTAGCTTCCAGCATCTGCAGTCCTTTCTGTCTCCATGACCTGGAATATGTCTTAGTGTAATGTAAAGTTTCATCCCATTAATACACAAGGGATGATTGACAACCTCGAGTTTCTGCACATGTCAAGGGCTTTCTTGAGAATGAGTTTCTTTTCTCTCTTTTGACGTGCTTTCACATTGGGATCTCTTATGCCTAAAGCAATCCTATCTCTGATGAGATCATTTTTGAGTTGTCCAAACACTCAATGTGGCAGTGCTATCACATACAGAACAACAGTCTCCCTCTCCTAAAGCTCTGATATACAACCATACCATTCATTAGTATTATTGATATGGGGTTTAAAGTATGGCTTCAAACTCTCTCCTGTCTGAGTCCTCTTCTTCTCAGTGTCATCTCAGGTGCAATGCAGTTTTGTAGCACTCTTTTCTGAGTATTGATAAGAGGGTTGTAACTCTAATTTGCCCAATTATGTTATTTAATTCTTTATCTATTTCATAGTTTTGTGAGTGAGAGAAGCCAATTCTGTCTCCTCTGTCATTTCCATAGGAGAAGGGATTAGAGAATTAACAGCCATTGTGATTCATCCAGTGGTGATTTAATTCATCCTTGAGTAAGTTTTCTTTTAATTGGAGCTGACTCTCTTACAGATCTGAAAATTCACCCAATTTCAACTACACTCCTTTGACATCATGTTTTTAAGTAATAGATCTAATGGCTTCCACAAGCTAAAATGAAAGCAACCAACAGAAGACGTGGTGATCACATGACAATGGTAAGGTCACTAGTATATTACGTCCTAATGAATTTCTCCACGTACGCCTCTGCAGGGTGTATTGCTGGCTGCTAACTTGGTTTCTGGTGGCTCTGCCTGATATGGAGAACCAATGGCCTCTAAATAGCCAGCAGTTCTCAAGGGAAAGAAGTGTCCTTGTTCCCAGGGAAGGTGGCCTGCTGAGCACCCAAGTGGCCAAGGATGCAATGTGCATTCTCAAAAGTGGGTGACACAGTTCTCCACCTGTTGGGCAAGGCCCTTATTGTCTGGATTAAATTCCACCAATAACCCCAGGACCTTCTGCTAGGTCCATCTACATCTTTTTTTCAAATTGAATCTTTTATTTTATATCACATGCAAGGTATTTGTTTGTTAGCTTTGGAGCTGAATGGGGTCAATCAGTTAAGATATCAAACGAATCAAATTGCTCACATCAGTTCTATCTCCGAATTTAAAGTCATGAAAATGACAGCTAACACCAGGGTTCAAATGTAGAATGTGTAGCATACTGCTTGTGCACTTGTGCTACAAATAACACTGGCATGAAATCCCTTGGAAAATTTTAATTGACTTTAAAATATAATTAGGTAGATTACTTCTGTCAGGGAAGAGAATATGTAAAATATTATTCTTCTTTGGTCCTGAATGTTTCAAATTGTTAACATTGTTCAACATACAAATTACAAAGTATCATGACATGCATTCAGTCCTCACTTTTCTATCTCTTTTTAAAATTCTGTATTACTCTTTAAGCAACAAGAGGGCATAGCTTCTGCCAACACAGTTATCAAGTGAGATACATGGCTAGCACTCAGACCTTCTCTTCTGTCCTACCTGTGAGGCAACTAGCACCATTGCACAGAATACTTTTCACAAAGACAAAGTTGATTCAATACCTGGGCGCTGGACAGTGACAATGGTCTGTCCAGATGTGTCCTCTCCAATTTTATACCAGATGTTATTGGGGCTTAGTAGCCATTCCTCCACATGACAATAGTATTTCCCACTATCATTAATGTCAGCTTTTAGTAAGACCAAGGTATAATGCCCAGTAAAAGGTTTTGCAACTTGTAGTCTCTCCTTCTTCTTGTCTCTTCCTAACCAGTCCTTGTGCTCAACCACCGAGTCACGGTTTGATTTCAGGATCAGCTTATCAGCTTTCTCCGGTGATTTCTGAACGTGCCATTGCACAGAGAATTGAGAGTCTGGTCTTGTTTGATTTATGATGTAGCAGTTTAAATGAATATTGTCATTTTCTTTCACAACAATGTTTCTCTTTGCTTGATTGACTTTTAATTTACATTCTGTAAGAGAAAAAAGATCAGGTCACATATAGAGCAGTGGTAAATCCAAAATAAAAACTAATTTAAAAAAAATCTTTTTTTTCTTTCATACATTTTAGCAACCATAATAGTCTGCATTTTGCAGTCAGTGGTGAAGTGACAACACTTTCTTGACATTAATTTGAATCTGCTATCAAGTCAAGTGAATCTCCAGGTGTCCAGCAACAGTAAGCTCATCAAGCAGAATCATCAGTCAATTGCATTGAAGTATTCTCATAGACAGCAAACTAAGAAGCAAATTGCACTGATTATTCCTCATAATGATACTTCACAGATAGCAAAACATAACTAAGCCATACATAAGGGATTCAGGCAAAATCTCAATGATCATGAACAAGATGAACCAGCTCTAAAAAACATAAAAATGCATCTTGTTTTATATCACAATGGAGAAATTTGGCTTACCACAAGTATTACATCAGTTTTCCACGGCCAGAAATGTTGGTCAGCAGCAATGATAAATCTGGTATGCCAACAAAGCCCAGTTAGGCCTTGTTCAATATGATGGAACATTTTCATTTCTGAAGGGTCTAGACCTGAAACGTCAGCTTTCCTGCTCCTCTGATGCTGCTTGGCCTGCTGTGTTCATCCAGCTCTACACCTTGTTATCTCAGATTCTCCAGCATTGGCAGTTCCTACTATCTCTGTAACAATTTTAACCCCATTGTGAAGCCTAGCATTTCTGAAGAAGGGTCTACACTCGAAACATCAGCTTTCCTGCTCCTCTGATGCTACTTGGCCTGCTGTGTTCATCCAGCTGTACGCCTTGTTATCTCAGATTCTCCAGCATCGGCAGTTCCTACTAAATCTGTAACAAGTTCTCATCAGTGTTGTTATTTCTAATAGTTTTCAGTCTAGTGATACTTTAACAAGGCATGTTTGCAAAAGTAAAGAATCATTCACAGCAATACTGGATTTCCATGTTCAATTACAAACATGCAGACTCCAGAAATTGCTGTCAGTTTCAGAGGAGTATTGATGATGAAGGCTGACGGTTTTGCAATCATTATTGATTATTAAACATCACTATCCAAGTCATCTTCTTGTACAGCTGGAGCAAGGTCTTCACAAAAATCTGCACTGAGATAATTTACTTCCAAGCAAGACAACTTTCTTCTCTACCTCATCTATACATTCCTCTCAGTGCCTGCTACAGGATTATAGTGATTTATTCCATGTAACAGAGCAATCAACAGTGTTACAAAGATACTTTTTAATTAATACTAAATAAAAACCAAAAGAACTGTGGATGCTGTAAATCAGGAACAAAAACAGAAGTTGCTGGAAAAGCTCAGCAGGTCTGGCAGCATCTGTGAAGAAAAGTCAGAGTTAAGGTTTCAGCTCTGGTGACCCTTCCTCAGAATTAATATCACTTGGACGACTTAACTTCGAAAGATTCTGGTTTACTTAAAAGAAGTCATTGAAAGCTCACTGTGAATATTGGAATTGTTTTTAAAAATAAAAGGTTTCTTATAAGCCACATGCATGGCAATTACTTCTTGCTTTGCTGAAACCCCTGCCAGATCTGGTTTGAACAGTGTCTGGCTTACAGAGATTCTTGATTTATCTGGTTGAATTAGAGGAAAGCCTGTCAAGAACAAGCTAGTTGAGGAAAGCCTGCTAAGAACAAACAGAGTTGGTAAAGCTTGCTAAGAATAAACTGCCCCACTGCTCTCTCTCATTTATGAAAAGGAAAGCCTCTTGCTGAGTTCAGATGAAACCTATTTGTTCTTTTGTAAGACCAATTGAGATTATATTTCCTGAGTAAGTTGTGTCTATAAGATTTCAGTGACGACTGTGAACCATTTTCCAGGAACTAGTTTGCAAATGAAAGTGTTTTTGTTGTTTTAGTTCCTTTACATGTTACCATACAATCTGAGGAACTTGACCACTTATGCCAGAACATCAGACCAATACACTCCAGAATATCCTATGCTTTATCCTTTTGTCTTCAACAATAACCCCCATTGGCTAAAGTGTGTTTTTTCCCCCAGAAAGCCAATCTCTGCAGAGGGATGTTTTGTTTTCCCTTTTCCTGAGACATGTCTGCGCATTTTGGGAATACTTAGGGGGATAAGCACTTATACTGCTACATTGCTGACTGTATATGTTAACCAATTATTACATCTTCATTGAATAAGTTTTGTTTTGCGAACAAATGGATATTTTTGTCTATTAAGAAGCCTTTGAAGAATCTTGTTGTTTAAAACCTGATATAAATAAAAGAATTTAACTTTTCAATCTTGGTATGTTGTGGATCAATGGAGTGAGAGTGATGGTGCTGTGGTTACACTGGACAGCATCATTGCTGAAATTTATAATCACAGGTCATCACAAAAGACAGATTAAGTGCACCTTACAAGAACAGTTCAAGTTGTACCCAGTCATTGAACAAACTGAGACATTGTGAGTCATATAGAGTCATAGAGATTTACAGCATGGAAACAGACCCTTCAGTCCAACTCGACCATGCCGACCACATATCCTAAATTAATCCAGTCCCATTTGCCAGCATTTGGCCCAAATCCCTCTAAACCCTTCCTATTTATAAATCCATCCAGATGCCTTTTAAATGTTGTAATTGTACCAGCCTCCAACACTTCTTCTGGCAGCTCATTCCATACATGCACCACCCTCTCCAGGAAAAAGTTGCCCCTTAATTCCCTTTTAAATCTTTTCCCTCTCACCTTAAACCTATGCCCTCTAGTTTTATATTCCGCTACCCTGGGTAAAAGACTTTGGCTATTCATCCTATCCAAGCCCCTCAAGCCTCCGACTCTCCAGGGAAAGTAGCCCCAGCCTATTCAGCCTCTCCCTATAGTTTAAACCCTCCAACCCTAGCAACATCCTTGTAAATTTTTTCTGAACCCTTTCAAGTTTCACAAATTCTTTCCTATAGCGGAGAGACCAGAATTGAATGCAGTATTCCAAAAGCAGCCTAATCAATGTCCTGTACTGCTGCAGCATGACCTCCCAACTCCTATACTCAATGCACTGACCAATAAAGGAAAAGAATCAAACGCCTTCTTCAATATCCTGTTGATAACTGTTCTTCTATAGAAGAACTAAAGAGATTATTCAGTGATGAACTAGATAATTCAGAATATACTGAGGTTTAATGTGCCCGGCAACAAAGATAGCTACAAAACCTGACTGAGAAACAGAGAAAGATGTCCCCTTGTTCCAGCTTTTAATTTTCACTGGAATGATATTGCACCTGATGTTTTTTTTTCTCTTTGCAATATTCATTGAAGCCATCAATGTGATGTACAACAGGTATTATATCCAAAAAGCTGCTGTGTTTGCAGCCTTATTGTGTAAATCTGTATTACATTAATATTTAATCAAAGCACTTGCGTATTAACATACCAATTGCAATGTTGCTCCTGCTGGTAACTTGAAAATGACTTGCAGATTGCAAGTTCCTCAGATTGCATGGTAACGTGTAAAGGAACTAAAACAACAAAAACACTTTCATTTGCAAACTAGTTCCTGGAAAATGAATCACTGTATGGAAAAGGAGGCTTTGGAATAATGTCTAAAAACAGCAATCACTCCCTTTCAGTATACTGTACAGTATATACTACACTGCAGCAATGACGGCTGGATGTTGAGGAACATTTCACAGGCGTCACTGCCGAAGTTCCATGGGTGTGCTGGCACACTTCCACTGTAACTTCAGAAGTAATCTGAAAAAACTCTGCAGTGAACATCAGAGCCCAGGCATGACACTCTCTACTCGTCCTTGTTAAGAGCAGAACTGCTATCCACCATCTACAAGATGTGTGTTGTAAGACTGGATATGATCAGAGATGGAAGCTCCCATACAGTTCATAATCTCTTAGTCTCAAGGGAACAGTGGACAGGCAATACAGTTGGGTGAGAGGAAGTGTTTTAGCTTATTCAGTTTCACATGTGGGGCCCACCTGTATTACATTCTGGACCTATGAAGAATTCTCAGCAATTCTGTTTCTCCTTATAAGGTTATTAATGGTCCCAAGCAAATGTTATTTCCCACTGTGACTGGACAGCTCCTAATTCGTAGCATCCTCTCCACACCAGCATCCGAGAGCTGGCCTGATTAGGATGGCTGCCTTTTGTAATTAAGTTAAACAACTTCAATTTTATGAACCTTGATCGGAGCATTTATGCTGGATGTGCCAAAGGTGTTCATGCCCATTGTGCTTCAACACACTCCTCCAGCCTGGAGTCAATACGTATATAAAAATTGTTGTTTAAGTAGCAGTGATTAAAAAAAAAATGCTGATTTTACAGTTTTGAAAAACAAACATTACATGACTGATCTGCAACTAGTATGTCATCCACTTTAAATTAGCTCATTGCTGACTGTATTCCCCAAAATTGTATATGATCTGGCAAGCAAAGCAAATAGACTGAAACTATACAGACGACAGATTCCAGACAAAAGGGTTTAGAGAGTCTTGTGTGGTATACTCAGACTGTTGAGAAGCACAATGAATCTACTATACATGTTGATTAATGGAGCTGAGTGGATCAGGCATACATTAATCGATAATATATTGCTGTACTATCCTGAGGTTCGTCTAATAAATGTCAGTGGTGTTCAGCTAGCAAATGCTTCCACTCCAAGGACTATTGTAACATCCCTCAAATCATTTTGAAATATAAAATGGATCAATTATTTCCAATTTTTAAAAACAATGCCTTTAATCTCTTCACTTCAACATCATCTCTGCTTGCAGTTTCTAGCAGTGCATCATTATGGACATTTGAAATAGAACACAGTCTTCAAGAGGCGCCAGTCCAATTTACCATACATTCTGTACTCAGAGCACTTTATTTAATGCCTCATTTCTTAGACAAAAGCTAGTCCTGGTATGATGAGTAAGTTTACATTAATTAATTTTTTTTACAGTAAGGATTCATGGCTGGAAAAATGAACTAAGAAATGAAATGAAAAAAATATAAAGAAAGCATTG